GCAGGACCTTGCACTGGTGTAGCCTTAGGAAAAGAGTTTTCTCTGTTCCAGGTGCCCAGCTGAGCCACTGTAAAAGCATGGTTTGCAAAGCTCATGTGTCAGTCAGGCTAAGAATAGCTCTTCCTATTTATACTCCCCTAAAGAGTATCATCCCTGGGGCTCCAGGACCACGACTCGCCTGCTTTCACAGAGTTGAATCACTGGCAAAGCTGGTGAGCCGTGTCTGGCTGGGGGATGTTGACAGAGGGTCAGGGACAGGGCTCCCAGCTCCCTTGTGTGGCTTGGCTCCTTTAGTCCTGCCAGCTGATGGGCTGCTTTGCACTTTTGACTGTTCTGAAGGAAAACCTTAATTTAGATAGTAACAGGTCACAAAGCTGACCTAGTTCACTGAAATCCTTAGTAGCTGCCATCCTGGTTCTGCCACCTCTGCTGCAGCAGAAGAGCTTTTCTCCAGCCTCTGCAATTGCTCCTGTCATTGTGACACACCCAAAAGGGCAGAGAGGAGGAGGGGAGAGGGATGGGCCACAATTTTGCCCTGGTGGGATGTGGGATGGCCTTGCACAAGTGGTGATCCTGGGAGCATGCTGGCAGGGCATGAAAGCAGTTCTGGGAAAGGGACCTGGTAACTCAACAAACCCAGAGCAAAAAATGTGAGGCTGCGAGAGGGAGAGTCTGAATCATAATGAACCCCCCGCATTAAAGTGGGGAGGGGGGGAGCCCAGGGAATGAGGACTGTAGGCAAACTTGCAAACACAGGCAGGATCACCAGGGTGGTTCCTGCCTCATCAGAAAGTGGAGGCCTCCAGGATGGACCAAACAACATGGTCCCAGCTCCCTGGTTGACAATGCCCCTTCTTCCAGTCATCATCCAAGCCTTCCTTAAAGACAGGGTTACATGGCACCAAGGGGGACATGAAACAAGAATCATCATCTCTGGGATTGCAGGGCTCAGGCGCTTGGATGGATGGATTGGACAACCAGTCTTACCACGGGCTGCAGGAAGCTCTCCTGGCCCAGGAGAACGGCAGTGGCCAAGTGATGTCTCAAATCCTCCTGGCCTGCCTTACCTTGAGAGGGCTTCATGGTGTGGTATGGCCTTACGCTGGTGAGGCCGTGAGGGTAGATGTTGTATGGTCGGCTTGCTAGGTTCCTGAACACGATCTGAAATGAGGACAGCCAGTAGGAACATTTAATGCTTTCTGAATGTTGTGAGCCCTCAAAACTGCCCTCAGTGTCCTCGCAGGGAGGGAAATGCTAGGCAGGGGCGCTCTGGGTTCGGGTACCTGCCAGTGTCCAGTGGGGAGGAACCCAGACATGTCTGGGACCACAAAGTAAGAGTCAGAATAGAAGAAACGACTATTTATTTCTGTACAAGCCTACACTGTCCATTTTAGGGAGGGCATGAAAATATCAGATTTATTAAAGGGAAAGTTGCTGTCTTTAGTCTCACTTTGCATATGAGACAGAACAGGTCTGTCAGTCCAGGAAGCCTCAGAGGACCGAGACACTAAGTATGCACAGCAGTCAACAGCTTCAAAGTGCTCCCCACTTCACTGCATGAAGCCCTTCATTTATTTCTCTAAATAGCTCTGTCGGGGCTTTGCCACAGGCATTACCTTCAGCTCCATGCCCTCAACTGCACAGGGAACCCCAGGCAGGGAGCAGAAACGTGAAGCTCCTGGAAACCATCCCATTTCTCCTAGCAACAAACAAGTCAAGTGGTCAGTAGAATCATAGAATAGAATCACAGAAACTTTTAGGTTGGAAAAGACCTTTAAGATCATCAAGTCCAACCATTAGCCTAACACTACCAAGTCCACCACTAAACCAATTAAGGGTAGAGTAATAATTCATTTCATGTTTCCTGGTTTGGTGGCTGGATTAATTTTTTAACGAAAGTAAAACTAAGAATCACTAAGGTTGGAAAGGACCTATAAGATCATCAGTCCAACTGTCAACCCAACACCACGATGCCTACTAAACCA